AATGTTCCGGAAATACTGCGTCCTTTAAACATATATAAAATTAAAGCTTATTTTATGTACTACAAAATGAAAAAAAAAAATTTGTCCCGACGACCTATCTTCTATACGCAAATGGCTACCATATTCAAAAATATGCTATTTTTGTATGAAAATTATGGGTTTTGTATTTTATTTTAATAGAAGTTGATGTTACTTTTGCAATTATCCATCAATTTTTTAAAATTAAACACTATCTACAGATTTGCATCGAAGCGTTTCTTATGATAGTGATTTTAATCACTGTCAGATTAAATCTAGACTGAACCCAACTATGCAATGTCTCCACTATGCCGCGACCCCACTGTGCTACCGTTTTTTTTTCACTTTTTTTTCTTAAAACTTCCATAACTTTTTTATAGAGTAAATAACTTTTATCGATTGTATACATAATTTATAATAATATTTATCATACTGTATGGTAATATATTTGATCTTAAGGTTATTGGCCTTTAAAATACATACTTTAAAAATGTATTTACAATTTAATGCAACTTATTTCGTAAGATATAGAAATTATTTACTAAATCTTCTTTATTTTTGCTAATCTCATTAATATCAACATTATTGATTAAATTTTTCATTGTCATAAGATCATCTTCATTATTAACTAGCAATAAATTTAAAAAAAAAGAAGATTTTGTTGGTGTTGTGGCAGCTAATGAACTCAATTAGCTATCTTCTGTCAATATTGAGTTCAGTTTTTGTCCATTTGGTGAAGAGTAGCACATATCTGAATATTAGATCCATTTTGTTATGACATACACAGTATATCATTAGTGTTATAATGTATTATTTACGACTTTAATTAATAAATCACATAACATGACTTGTATAACAATGTAAAAATAAGCTATATATATACTTATTAAATGTGTTGAAAGTATACTAATGAAATTTTGTAGAAAAAAGCTTATGTTAATGATATAAAACAAACAGGAACTAATAAATAATATGTAATGGTAGCACATGAGATGTAGGGTAATAATCAATGTGTAAGATATTATGTAAGGAATGCTAGAATATTATAAAATGAAGATCATTAATGTAATAAATTACAATTGACAAAGAAATAATGGTAGCGTCGGTGATCACTTCTTGCCTTTAAAAATACTACCAAACTTAATATAAAAAGCCCAAAATAATGAGCATTTGGGCTCTTATCTTACTCTGGTGGTGGTCAGAATGCTCTTACTCGGTCAATTTCACTCAAATGTGGTTAGTCATTCTAAAGGGTACACCCAAGAAAGATCCACCGCGTTCACATTATAATTATAGAAGAAAAAGGAACGTCAATTTATTTCAGAGTGTTAAAACTATGTGATAATTTTGTTTATTTAGTCAGGTCAGTTCATATCAGTCATTATAAAACTTATATTCTATCAGTTGTTGTTCAGTGACGCACCCTGCGTGAGGTCGTTGGTTTTGGTGTAAATATACGTATACTTGTTAATTAATTTCCTGCGCAATATTTGTGTTTAATTAATTGAAATCGTCGACTATGAGTGGTGATTAACAATAGTATTTATTGGAAATATCAAAGTAGGAAAATAACAAATTCACCAAAAATATAAAAGTTAAGAATTAAATTTTATGAGTACACATATTAAGTTGGCACAAAGAAAAATCAAGTGATCATCAATAATAAAAAATATATCTAGTAAATTTAATAAATCAATAATGTTTGTACGAATTTAATTGTCAGAGTTATGTCATTGATACTTATCTATTTCAGGAATTAAGTAGGAGGTTCATATATAGCCACCATACTACTTTGGTTAGACACACAAGATGACTTAATCCTAACTACTTATCATTGATAACCGTCAATACTTGTGGTATTATTGATATCAAAGAGTGTGACTATTGATTATAGTAAATTTAATATTAATAAATAAGATCACTTTACTTTTTTGTCATTCTATCAGAGTAGGGTAAGGATACTTCGGATTTCATACTCTCCTACTCCTACAACGCTTAATAGTACACAATGATAGTAGAGGAAGTACTATCATCAGACATTGCGTAAGGTTTACGAGGAAGCTTGTTTGGTTAATATAGTAATACTAAAATTTACTTTTCTTCCTCAGTTCATATTTTTATAAACTCTGATTATACTTACAGTAGGCGTATTACTTTAACCGATAGACCAAAACAGATTGAAATGACCAAATTATTTTGTATATTTTTTAGTGGACTGTATATAAGGTAAATTTGATAAACAACAGCTAGATAGAAAAGTAACTAAAGACAAACTACTTTATTTCCTTGAATAACAATTTAAAATAATCTAATGACTAAATAAACATGCATAATATAAATTATTTCCAAATTATTTTAAGACAATTAATAAAATTAAAATTTCAAATTATATGCAATAAGACCAATACAATAAGTAATAACTTACAATCTTATAAATGAGTTCAACAGCAACACGAATAAAGTTAAATTTATAATGAATTAAATATGCTTAAAATTATAACTGAAATACATAACATGCTATTTGTACCACACAATAAGTTTTCAAATATTGAGAATAAATAACTAACACTGTGTCTTCAACGATATAACATGTAGGAATAGAAATAAGAGATTTAGAGCGTGTAGATATTTAACATATTTTATTTATGTGCATTATTATTTCACCGTTTCGGAAATCGACTGAAAATTGATTTACTAGTAAAAAGGATCTTCCCAAAATACCTTTGCCACATCCATACTGTGTCGCGATCCCATTAATCTACCTTTTTTTTTATTTCTTCAATCTTTAGAAAACCTACAAACTGCGTTCTCATTTTTGATAGTAATATATTGATAGCACATTGTAAAATAAATTATTACTTTTATCGGTAATAGTACTCATTAATTGTTATTCTTAAGAGCTTTACATCCATCTTTCATTACATATGTTTATTTTAGTCTTTAATAAGTTTCTCAATGTTCCTATCATAAATAAAAATAATAATAATTATCATACTTTTTTGTCAAGTGTTTTCGTCAGTTAAACACTGACGAAAACACTTAACTTTATCATTTACAGCTGATAATATTCAATTAATTTTTATTTTATAAAAATGTTACAGCTAAGTGTATGCTTGTATGTAAAACCAAACGTATTCAAATTTGCCAAACAAAAATAGAAAGAAGGATAATGCATAGAAGTTTAACTATTCAGGTACGTTAATGGCAGTTTTTTCTACGATAAAAAAATTAATT